ATTTGGAGGTCACTGTCTGCACTACCATTTTACTTATTCTTGATGAAAAAAAAGCTATCAATGCTACTTTTTCTACATTGAGCCAATTACAAAAGACACCCCAGGATATATGCATGAGAAAAAGGTTTTGAAATCATAGAAAAATTAGTCTCTATCACACCTCATCAGCCACTTCCACCATAACAGTGGTATCAGAGCAATAACTTAATCTAGGAGAAAATGAGCATGCAACATGTCCAGGAGGAAGATAAAGAAAACAACAATGCCCTAGTTAAGCTTCCTCATAGCACAAACCTTATGATCAAAGGAGCACATACCACTGGCCTCATATCCAAAAATCACATTCACCAAGTGAACTCAGATTTGAATTTAAAATAAAAACAAACAGAAAATCCCCCAAACAAACAAAACAAAACAAATAAAGAAAAACCTTCACAACTTACATTAACACACCGAGCCAGAAACTATGGGTTAACAAGTTTGTAATATATAGTACCTCAATAATGTGTTTACAGGTATTTCAATTGAGGCTCTCACCATGACCCGTAATATTTAATGCCCTTCCTTCACCATTTTTTTGAGGTCAGGCTATAAGTATACTGTAATCTAGCAAGCATAATGATTCCTGTAAATTTGGAAACGCACATTTTACTACACAGAATTTCAACTACAGACAGATGTTCAGAAAAAAAAACAAGTAGTACTTTAAACATTCTTTCACTTAAAGTATTGTTCTGATTTCAAGATATAATTATAAAAATTAGGTTCATAACAAAATTATTTTAGGTTATTTTTTATTCCAGTAAAAATATTTTGGTAGAAACTCTTCAGCATGTCCATATAGTCTAAGATTACACACATTTTCTCAGCTGAACAGAGCTTTTGGCAGTGAATAATTCCAATAATAGCAATCTTTTTATATTTTCTTGCTGTCACCCATGGTTAATAACAAAACTTTTAGCTGAAGGACACAAAATTTACATCTTGTTCACAAGGGAAACTAAGGATAGGAATGCCGTAAAATTACAGAAAGATAATACCTGAATTAAATTACTTCGACGAACATTAAAAAAAAAAGGAAAAAGCAAGAGAAAAATATGATCTTACTTTTGCTGATGGGGTAGTCTTCAGTACTTGGTTTGCCAAAGAAAGGAGAGGTTATGTTGACAGCTGTTCATTACAATTCCTTCTTTACTACAAGAGCTTAACTCTGCCACTGGCTGGCTGGCCCATTTCTGCTAGCTTTAGCACACAACAGTGCTCCTAAAAGCTCCTCCTCTCGACAGCATCTGTCTGGATACAAGCACAAGCAAGGCTTTCCATGGAGCCATTTAGGTCTTGGGAATGAGCTCCAAGTAAGGGAAACCATTAGAAGTAAATATTTTGATGACTAAGTCCAAAATTTGGCAGGCAGAAATTCATGCCCGCTGACACCACCAGCTTTACAGTACAGTAGTCACATCTTCACAGTGTTAAAAGTGAAAGTGAAGACTTCCCTGACAGAAACAGTAACTTGAATGATGCATAAAAAATAGAAGCCAGACCTTTGAAAGCATGCACTCCTTAAAAGCTTAACTGATTAATGCAACATGTCTGAGCCTTCAGAGGAGGAGGGCTCATTATTTCTTACCAAGATTTTATATTTGTGCAACTAAAAAGAGAAAACATTGGTGAAGGTTCCACACAAAACAACAATAAGAAAGTATCTAATATGTGCATTTCAGTTATCAATGAGTCAGAAAGCAATTGCTAATTCTAACAGATCCCTGTGTAAACTCCAAATACTCACCTTTTTCCTGGCACCCACAATAGCTGAGGCAAAACTACCTTCTGTTCCCAGAAATGCTGCCTACAGCTGATATTGTATTATGGCAAATATACATCTTATAGAATTGCCAGTGAAAATGATACTGCTCCATAACTTTACTTGCAATTTATAGGCTCTGTGGGCAATATGCCAGTACCTTCCCTTAATCTGGACACAGCTCTCTGAATAGGCAATGATCATGTAATGAGACCAGATGAATAAAAGATGGAAGAAAAAACATCTATACATTAGGTCCTATATACATATGTATTTATTGTGTCTTACTCTCAGCTACTAATCAGCACATTAACCTTATTTTCTCTGCATGAGCGCTAAGTACCATACTAAAATTAGGTCAGAAATTCAGATCAGATCAGCTGACTCAGCCCAGAAAGATTAGACAAAGACTAGTTGCTTTTTTTTTCCCCAATCCAATACGCTGTGTTTATCTCCCGCAATGTACAATGGATCCATACATTTTTCCCCACAATTAACCCATCAGAACCAGACACAAGACAGCAATCACACTGAAGGTACATCAGTGCTATTGAAGAAACACAGACAAATGTATCCTTTGGAAAGCAAAACCTACAACAAACGGGGTTTACTTAGGTCATTTTTCATATCTTGTTTCCAAACTGCTCAGACTAATGCATTTCAATGAACTTAAGTCATTCAGCATAGTTATGATTTAGGTAAATAACAGCTGCTTCTAAATAGTGTTGTGTGTGAATACCACCAATTTATTAGACAATATATTACTCATTATTATGTTGTTAATATACACAAATAGCCTTCTTCTAATAGAGACCATCTGAACACTAAAATTGAATAGCTTCTAAATAATTCAATAATTGGACTAGCAGGTAATTCTCTGTAGGTGCCAAAGACTTCTGACTGCTTTTATTTTGATTCTCAGATGGAAAAGAAGAATATTTGTGGGAACCCCCTCTCCTCCTCAAAAATCTACCTGCAGTTAATCACAGGGGATGACTCCCTTGTTGCTAAGGAGATTGTCTTCAGCTATTGGGAGTCTCCACATCAGTGGCAGTTACCACTGCACATGTGCACCACTTGCTATCTAGGCCACGCTCTCAGGAATTAGGATAATATAAATACCCACCAAGATAAAGTAAAGACATAAAGAATATAGTACAGAACAAAGAAGAAATCAATGATCCTACTTCACCTTTCCTGACTGCTGCATTTCAATAGACAACATGGTCCTGGATGAATCTCTGGAGGTTACTAGAGGGAGCAGACTCAATTGCAATCAGCTTAAGTGACTTCAGACATCATGGTTCCCTCAGTCAAATCAGGTGTTTGTCCTTGATCTATCATTGCTTTTAGTTTTTCCAACCAAAGGTTGATCTCAAGTATCTTTTTTTTACCTCTCCAAGTTTACATGGGAGAAAGCAAAAAAGACTTAAAGAGCCTTTTTCAAGATTTCCCGAGGTGTTTTCTACTTTGTTTCCTCAGGCAGATATTGTTCCCCGCCTCAGTGTTATTGAGATAAGCCAAGTGGGGAGGGATCAGAGGGGATCACTGCAAACATAGTTTCCCATAGAAGTGCACTGTATTGAGGAAATGTTGATATCTCCAAACCACATACAAATACATCCTGTTCCTCTAATAAGTCCACTGTGTTGCTGGTTCTCTACCTCCTGTCTTCTGGCTCTGTGACTGAGGATAAATACTCTGTTCTCATTGATCTCAGTTGAGTGTGGGCAAGAATTTCATGATTTGGCTCAGCCCTAAATCATCTGTACTTATCCAGAGCTCTTCATCAAATTGCTTTGCCAGGATCAATGAACAAACCACACAAACCAACCACAGTGTAGGAAATATTGTCACTACTATTCAAATGAGGTAGAGAAGCTTGGCTAGAGGACGATAAAGAGCCAGGTAGGACCACAAGTTAGTCTCTCATGTCCCAAGAAACCATAAAAAAATCTGTTCTGGTACTGAGTAACCTTTATGGTCACACATATAAAAGTACATGCAGGCAGATTAGCCAGAGTACAGCCTAATTGGCTGTATTCACCTTGATTTTACATTATTCTTATCACTCCAATGAAATTACTAACAATCCAAATAGTTCCACTTCCTGGATCATAATGCAACCATATTTTTGCTTTAAATTCCTTCATCTGCCTCCTCTCTCAAACTGTGTGTGCTGCTCTTTTCCTTTTAATGTTCTATCAAAATTATCAGACTACTGAGGCGTTGCTCGAATGTTCACAGCACAGCATGTCTGTTATACCTGGATGTACAGTACCCAAGACATAGCATAAAATTTAATCACTTAAACTGAAATACAGAAGATTCATGCTGGGGAAAAAAATTCAAAGGACCTCCTATCAGTTTATGCTCAAGCCATCCATTCGCATATAAAAGCTAAGGATTAGGATAGAAGATTTACCTGTATTACAGAATTTTACCTTCAGCTCAAGAAAAACCTACTTTTGGTATCAGCAAACGTGTATGTAATAAATATTTATATCTATTCCATTCAACCTCCTTTTCCTCTCCAGGAGGCTGCAGAGATTTCATTGATATCCATTGGCACAAGAGGGCAGGTCATGCAAATGCTCCTCTCATTAACTGTCAATTAAAATCAATGGAATTGTTCAAGAAGAGCCATTATAGGGTTCTGCCCATCAGGGGCTTGATCCATTTTCCTATAAGTGATTGCAATATTGTTACTGACTTCAGAGATCACGGAATTGAAAGGAAAATGTAAATAATAAAAAAAACAAAACCTCAGATACCACTTAGAAAGCTTTGAAAATTTACCAGATTTAAAATTTCAGCTCAAGAAGAGTGTCTTTTGACCTGTGAGACTGTCCCTGTCTTGCTCACGCACAAATACATTTTTGCACAAAGTACAAACTGTTCATCTAAAAGCACTAAGAGGATGACAACCCATTTATCACTAGATCTATATCTCCTGCTCCAAATACCCAAACTTTTTGTTACATATCACACCTGCTCAAGATGCCATACATGCTCAAACTGTGTTTACACAATGTAAACCATATGTGTGAGAGACCTGACAGAGGCCAATGGTCTGCACTGCTTTTGCCAGCAAGCTGTTTAGAAATCAATTGCTCTACACATATTTACCATATCTGAATCCCTTGCTTTTCATTCACTCTGCCAGACTACTCATCTTTTTAATCAAAATATTTACCGTTTTATTGCTTCTTCTTGTTTTCGGCGTTTTTCACTCTTTTCTTTCAAGTAAGCCAGGTTTGTTTCATTCCTCATGCGATCATTCTCTCGAGCAATGTCTGATGCATTCTGTATAACCAAGCCATCATAGGCCTTCATCCCCATGTCTTCAATATACTGGAGAAAAGCGCCCAAAGTGACCTCCTCCTGATTAGAACTCATCATCTTGCAGGAGATAATGAACAAAGGAAAGCAATGTTTCCTGCAGGTTGAAAAACACATAATACCTTAATCAGTAGGAAAATAGCTTATGGTTTATGACGGCAAGATCGTGTCAGTTGTAATTAAGATTTTTCAGACTTTCCCATTAAAAGAATAATAAACAAAGCAATTCAGAACACAGAACAACATTACTTGAGACAAGAGGAGACAAAACCAAGAGTCTCTTCTTCCAGGCAATGCAGATCCATACAATTACTCTGTTTAAATCCCCAAAACATTTCTTTCCACCCCTTCCCATTTCCTAGTACCCCTCAGTTGCATAAACACTGCCATCCTGAATCTTTGTTTGAATTTAACTGAGAAAGCTCCCATCACAGGACAACAGGTACCTTTCACAGGTTAGATAAGGCTGCACCAGAGCAGATTACCAGAAAAAACTCCTATTATGACTACCAGACAAAGTTCCTAGCCTGCAGGATATTCTAAAGTTCAGGTGAAAAGTATAGTTCCATTTTTAGGAACAAAAAACTTAAGAGCTTTCTTCAGATTCAGAATTTAGAAGTATTGTGAAATATTTTCCTGTATTTCATATTAATGTGATATGATCCCATAAACTCTGGTCATCTATTGCTCCAAGAATGGATAAGAATGCCCAGCTGAGCTGAGACCTTCAGAACAGGCCCTTGAAGTCTCCAAGAATCTGTGTTCCAGAGGTATGGCAGACAACTGGAGTTTACAGCACGTCCAGCAAAACACCTTGGATCAGACACACTTAGACCCCTGGGTCATCCCTGGGTCTGTGGCAGAAAGCCTTAAAAACTCTACAGAAAGGCCCCAACAGTTTTCTATTCACCAGCAGAACTGGGAGCTGCAAGAACTCTGGTATATAGACACATCATTAAATACTACAGGAGACTAAAGGCAAGGTAGAATTTCAAGAGACAGACTATTTCTCTCTAAAGTCTCTGCTGGATAGAACTGAATTAATCACTTACTAAACAAGTAAAATAGAAGTTTAAAAAAATAGGACTGTTCCATCTTATTTAAATACTGATTCTTGTAAGGTCCAGAAGCATTACAAGCTTGAGTGGCATTGCCTGTACACAGCCCCATGAGAGACCCTCATCCCACAGCCAGGGAGATGGTGCTGAGTGATTTGCTGGCAGACCTGGGAGCTGAACTCAGCTCTCTAAGGCACGTTTGCTTATTCACTGCTACAGCATTCCTCTCTTCCCTGAAGGAGGATGGCGTGGCTTCTTGGAATCAGCCTCAGAAAATGCCAACACTACAACTAGAAAGGATCTTATTGAATAGGCAATTAGAATCCTGTCTGCACACAGATTTTAGGGGCAGGGTTCCTGGGGAATCAGCGGTGAAAATCTTTCCCCTATTTCCGAGTATAATGTTATATTTCTAACATTTATTTCATAGCTGGAGAAGTAAAATTCTGATCTAGGTTGACACTGGTTTGAAAATTAATAAATAAATAGATAGATAAATAAATAAATAAATTTAAATGCTCTTAAGGATTCTAGAAATCCAGTCTTGGCCTTCAGATCTTAACTCTGAAAATGCAAGAGTAGAGAAATGTATTTCTGCCTTTGAATTTTTTTCCCCCATTTTGATTGGGGGAACTTTTGAAGTGACAATGCAACATGCAGCTAATTTCAGGCACTAGCCTGATTTTAAATACCTTAAAAGCACACTGATAATTTCCCCTTTTTCTCTCGTGTCTACATATCAAAATTATTTTTTTTAAATGGTGACACAACTGTTAAAGTCATGAAGACTCAGAGGATGCAAAGGGTCTTCTCCTATTACCTCTTCTGCCTTCCAAGAATGACCTTTTCTATCAACTAAGCCTGAACATGAACACAAGGCTGATGTTAAGGGTCACTAAAGTGATCTTTAAGCATTTTCAAGCATGGGTATAAGCATCTCCTACAAATCCCTGCAGGGTAAAAACAGTGAAGGAGGTCTTAGTGCAGCCCAATGTGCCTGCATGCCATTTCACACAGCTCTGTCATTGGAGCTGGCTAGAACTCTGGCTGAATACATATTCCAGCCCAGCATTCTATATGTGCACCATAAGCAGCACGCTGTCTGCACAGGAGGATGTTGGAAAGCTGACAATGAGCTGAACAGATGCTATGAATGTTATGATTCTTCAGCAGACACAATTTTAGACTAATTCCTAACCTTGCTGATTAAAATAAAGTAAGGCCAGATATCAAAGCCCCTTCCTGAGTCTCTCCCTACAGCATGAAGGCTACAAGATTAAAACCAATGCTAACAGCATAGACAGCTCTAACTCCCCTTTCTCTGAACTCATCAAATGGTATCTGCTTTTTGATGGTTAAAGTCTGGGCCATTTCCCCAGCAGATGGCTATTTTATTGTGTATTCCATTCTGGACTTCTAGTAAAACCTTGTTTCTGCATATGTTGAATTACATTCAAATAAACCTGCACAACAGAGAAATCTCACCCTAGTGACCCGAATAGCAGTATTGTCATTGATTTCTTCAGTGACCAGGGTTTACTCCTGAAATATAGTATATTTTACACTGACGATAACTTCAACAGGATTTAAAAAAAAAAAAAAAAAAAGCAGTTCTCATCCATTTTTCCCCAAGACACATGCTATGCTATACCTTGTCTTTTGTGACTATACTGCATTTCTTCCCCTCATTTTTTCCTTTCTTTACAGAGGTCAGAAATGAGCTGACAATTAAGGATACACTGAATCTCTTTGTATTATGATGTTTATTTTTTAAATAGGAAGATGAAGTCATTTCAGTTGTAAAAAGGATTAAATACAAAGCCCTTATTCTGCTTCATGAACTGAACAGAGACTTTAAATTCTGGTTTGTTAATGATGCTTTTTATTACTAAACTCATGCAAAACCTTGCTATTTACTAAATAGATCAAAATCTTTGATCTATCAAACATCTATTCTATCAAGATCTTGGATCTATCAATAGATCTATGAAGATCTATTCTTTGTCCTAATACGGGCCCAATCCCACAGCAGTACTGACCAATTGTAGCTACTGAACTCCTCCTGTGAGTTTTGATCCTTGCATGCTTGCAACACGAAATTTGGGGTACTCCTGGGGGTAGCTGGGGACACACAGATATTTCAGGACCTTGAACCTGCTCTTATGGCACTAACTTCAAAGGGCATCTGTGCAAGCAGCAAGCATTTTCTGATTCACACCCCTTGTACCTCATGTGTATGTGGTATTTTACAGTCTCACTACATTTACTAATACTGTACAGTTGTGCATGCTATACTTATACAGGGATTAAAAATGCAAACAGGAGGTTCAAAAAGCTTAATTAATTACTGTAAACATTTTTACAGTCTTAGTATTCCTTGGGCAGCACACTAAGACCAATTTTACTTACAGGTATTAATGCCACTTCAGAGAATATGTTACCTTAGTAAATGTGCTCAATAGCTGCAAGAGGCTGTAATCAACACATATAGCCCCTGGAGTCCCATGCAGTGCCTGCCTGTCTATATTTTTGGAAAATGGCTGGACAGCACTGATCAACGTTTGAGCAAAAGTTCTGATGACTGGTAAAGTCAGGCAAGAGCAATTGCTAACCATTTGCCAGGGCAGATACTGGCACAAGCAAGGGTTCTGTTTGAATACATTCATATTTGATTAAAACTGTGCAAATGCAAATTGCTAAATAAGTCATGTAAGCTGAGGCCCCATGATCCTGGTATCCCTAACATGCACACTGTGGTCAGGAATCTTGTTAGCCAGTAACAAGGACTATACAAAGTCACCAATGTATTTGTAATCAAGCTGCTTTCAGTGCATTTTGTTTTCTGAAATCAAGCAGTCCTGGAATATTATAACTGGCAGTTTTACCACTTGAGAAATTCTTCAGACACTCCTTTCTTTTCCCCTCCTCATTGTGAAGGAACAAAAGGAGAAAGAGGGGCAGAGGAAAAGCCTTGGAGTTCAGCTATTGAAGCCAACATACTGAGAAGTCAGCAAAAATTGTTTGGAGGAACTCCATTCGGAGTGTTCCCTGAACATGAACATCTTTGAAAGTCCATCTGAGCACAAGGACACAAAGAAGGAGCTCTCCATCATGTGCACTTTATTTCTTAAAGACTAACACTCTGTGAAACTTCACGGAGAAAAAGCCACAGTCACACCCATCTTGCCCACTGACACCTGCCCCTTCAGGTACCCCCAGATCAGAGGGACCCTGGCAGAGGAGCACAGAGCGGCTCACACAGGAGCGGCTCATGCATTCAGCTGTCAGCATGGGAGGAGTAAAGCAAGAAAGATTTTTTTTTTCCTTCCCTGCCAATGCATCTGGTTTACTGGCAAGGGCAAGCAGTCCCCTTCCTGGTTTGCCCAAAAATATTTGCATAACTAAATTCAAGATCGTTGTATTGACTCAGATACGATTTCTGTGAGAGCAGAGTGCATTGTATTTCACAGGATGGGTGCATACCTTACTTCTAATCTAACCCTTTGCTCTGCTGATGCCTCATATACAGCATTTTTGATCAAACCACAAACCACCGCCTTTTCATATGATCAGTGTGCAAAAATACTGATTTCAGAATATGAGTAATCGACTGAATATTACAGTATCCAAGCAGTGCTACATGTGAAGATTCAGACATGCCATTCTCTCTCTTATTCATATCAGGATCCCCAAAATATCAGCTGCTTTTCAGCTTGCTTGACAGCCATAAGCTGCAGCTGTGCTGCATTGAAAATTGGCAATGCTGACATTAAACTGAAGGAGCTTTTTGAAGTAATGACAAAGGCATTGATTGCCTTCTTCCAAACCAGAGAGATTTTTTTTTTTTCAATTTTAACGTAGGAGAAGAGACTATGGAAAAACAAGCGTGGGGTTGCCCAGAGTCCTGAGTCCAATCTCAAAATTATAAAGGCCTACTACACACCTCTTCAGTACTGCCTGATTCCCTTCCAAACACTGCCTCCTCTCCCTGAAAGAACATCTGATTTCTCATTACCTTTTAACTCCCTCCAGTAAATTCATTATATCAGAAGGATTCTGCACAAACAGGGATGATAACCAGCTATTCAACCCTTGAGTCTGAGCTGTTGTATTCTAGCTTCTTGCAAGAATAAAAGCAGACAGGCCAGCCGTATCCAATTTTCACAAACTGCTGACCGCAGCAGCACTAATAAGGACCTAATGGTATTGGGTGTACAAAAGAATACTTTCACTGCAATCAAGAAAAATTTAGTGAGGGAAAAATATACTAGAGACTACTTTGCAGAACTCTGTCTCCTATCATAACTGTGCCTTGTATCAAGTGATATTTGAAACACCCAAACAGATGAATGTGATCAGACAAATTGCTAAGACATGCCTTTTAGAGTTGCATTCCCTGCTCATTCTTAACAATAAAATGACAGTTCTGTTTCCACATACAATGATGCCAGAAATTATAATGTCAAAGAGGAAAGACCTTCTGAAATCAGCTGCAACTTTCCTACTATGTATCATTTGACAACTATATATGCAAGAAAACGAACCAAGGAAAAACTACTGTCATTTGGAAGTACAAAATATACTTTATATTCTGTCTGGGATTACAGATTATATACCTGGTGCTCATTAAATTGCACAGCATGAGCTCTAGCACCTGGGTGAAATCACTAAAGCTAAGTAGTGCTGAGCCCCTCACTTAAAGAGGTTAAAAGTGTCTCCTTCAGTAGACTGAAATTGCTACTGCATGGGTTTAAAGGAATAGTCAATTTCCACAGATGTCCTACCCTTCATAGGGGAAAGCTGTGCTCCCTCTAGTTTTAAGAACTAAAAAAATACCCTGGGCCTTGAATTTTGGCCCCCTTGCAGGTGCCTTTTTGAAAAGGAAAAAGGTCTTTGCTAACAATGACTCCTTTATGACTCCAGGATGTAAAAAGCTGTTGTTTACTTTGCAATACAGCAACTTTTATTCCCAGAGGAAAATAAGGCTTCCTCCTAACCATGTGGATGCTGGACAATTGCAAACCTAGATTCAGAATGACCAGCACTTAAGTGCAATTATGACTTTTTATCATCCCATTATTATGCAGACAACTTATAAGCAACAACAAGAAATAAAACCACAAAATAAGCAGACATATACACACATTCTCTATGCAAATAGGAGTTCATTTGGACTCAGAAGAAATCACAAGCTTCTTACTGGTGGACTTATTTTTTTTCCTCCTCTTTAAGAAAATGAAATGGAGATTTCACTACCACCAGCATCGTGTTAAGATGCTGTAAAATATTAATGGTGCAGTGGGTCTGATAAGTGACTATCATAGATGTTAAAATTATTTCAATTAATGCATCAGAAAATATAAAATAATGGTTTTAATTATTTAACAGTGCTTTTTACAAACAAAAAAATCAGCTGCTAAATATCTTTATTACAAGCACAATCAACATGTGAAGTACACAAAATCAGTCAAATTGACTTCAGCTTTTAGTTTAGCAATGGTTTGACTAATATCTTCTAAAAATACATGCAATCTCATCACTATGCATTCTGACAACTCATTATTTCATTCTAATTAGCACCATATTTTATTAGCATGCTCATATGATGTATTAAAATAAGTACGTACCAAAATTCAAGTCCACGGGGACCGCTAAGTGCAATAATCAAAGGTGACTTTTGCCTGTAAAAGCCCTTTCCTGTGGTTATCTCAGTGCAGTCGGAAGGGATATTTCAGCACCATAAGAAACAGATTTTCAGTTAGGCTCAGTTTTTTCTTCAGTTAAAGTGCATTAAATCTTGTTGGCAGAATTGCCCAGATTGTAGAATTCGACATCACTATAAGTCAATGTGTTATGTTACAGATCTTCTTAACATACAATTAAAATGGCATGGAAAGTTTGGCTTAAAAAAAATGAAGTGGAAAGAAAAGACAGGTACTTGCTTCTTTAAATCCACATTCAGAGAGGAGAGGGTACGGATAATGGGAGGGTATAAACAACACCCTGTGTTGAGGTCCAGCAGAGAAGAAACTGGATGATTTTTACCCACTTTACAACACAGACGATTACAGCACCATCATATGCACTAACACAGAGATTTCTAAGGTGCCTCATTTGAATATGTTCTGTGGAGACAAAAAGAAAGGAATATAAGGAACAGCAAATATCCTATCCAAATGGCTTCTTGCAGCAGGAAAGATGCTTGCTCGCTCATTGCCACTTACAGAAGGTCTGAAACAGTCTGGCTCGTGGCATCATCTCTGTCTCTCTCCCGTGACTACAGGCAGGCTTGCTCTCTCCAGCTGCCCGGGTCCGTGGATGCTGCTGTTGATTAATCAGGGATTCTCAAACAAAGAGCAAGCCTACCTTCGGGTGCCAGCAGGACTGTGGGGCTCCTCTCCCGCTGCAATCCGGCTGCAACCAGCATCCTAGCACCTCGGACAGCTCCGCCGCGCCGGGCCCATGGACACGCGGCACGCCGGAGCGGGGGCGCGCCGGGAGCCGGCGCGGCAGCGGCAGCGGCGTCGCTCCTGGCTCCGAGGCTCCGGGGCCGGCACAGCCTCCTAGCTAGGCAACAGTCTCGCCCTTATCGCCACTGCACTGAAGTCTGATTAGCAAATAATCCAGTTGGGGGTGGGGGGATTCGGCATGAGCAGCACTGTACATCACATGGAGTCTATAGGTAGGAAAGAATATGAAACAACGCCCTTTCCCCCTCCTTCTCCCTTCCCCAAAAAAATAGAAATTGTTCTTCCACGGAGAATGTGTAAACTAACCTTTAGCCCATATTATGGCTCAAGGAAATGAGTAGCACTTAAAAGAAAAACCTAAGCCTCAGTTTGATACCTCGTATTGATGTATCTTTTGCACTCACCCTCACTGAAAAGCAGTGCAAGGCACACAATTACTGCTGACGCAGATGAGAATGCTGCTTGGGGAAGGAGGGGAGGAGCTTCTCAGCTCATCAAAACAACCTCCCACCACCTGCTCCCATTGCACGAGAACAAAACTACGAAGCTCGGCCAGACTGAGCGTGACATTTATGCCGTTTTCCTTATATTGACATGTACACTCTGGAAAGAAGCATTCTGTTTGAAAAGCATTCAGGGTGAAACTACACTGTTTTATGCTCATCCAGAATTTGTGTAATGGTTTGGAAGAAAACATTTCCTTTCTTCTGAACCGGATCAATCTGTGTTACAGCTCCTCCTTGCAGAGTATGTGCAGTTTTGCTTTCTCTCCCCTAAACCTGCAGCCTGGACACAAAGCAAAAGCGTTCACTCCCTGCACCAAAGCCAGGGAAAGGAGCGATGGCTGAATGTGCACAGATTGCATTACCCCATTGTCAAATGGCATTTCATTCTTTCTTAAGTTGCAGGCTTATTTTTCTCTAGCATAAATCTCGATTTTGATGTTACAGTAACAGTTTAATTTATTCCTAAAACTAATAAAAATTGAAAGGATTTCATTCTGTGACCGTAAAGTAATGCATATTCACATGAAAAGCTGTGCTGGTACACAAATAAGACCTCACCTTCAGAGCACAGGAGAACCTCTTGCAGATTTACTACCCCACAACTGGAAAATCAACATTACCCCATGTTCAACAGCATTCAAGATTGTCAACTAGACACATGGAAAAACACTGTGACCACCTTCATGCATTGGAACCACAGCCTGAAGAAAGTCTGTTGCTAAAACTGTCTCTCATATTCACTGGTAGTTCATTTTGTACTCACTGTAATAGTGCACAACCCAGCACACCTCTTGCAACCCCATGAAACAGGGAAGTGAATTTTCCTCATGACATCTCCAATACACCATTTCAAAAGGATGTTTTAAGAAGGGTTACAAAGCCAGAACAACAGGGTTTGGAGATATGAAGGACTTTTCTTTGTGTTAAGGGAAAAGATTTGGAAGGGAAGAACCTACAGTGTAGAACTGGAGGCAGTCCTGTGAAGAGAGCTCCTTCCCTAGCCCCGAGGCTAGCCCCTAGCTCTGCTTCTGATATTTGCCTTCCTTGAAGGATACCTTAAGAGTAGCTGTGGCCGTATGATAATTGGGAAACTTTTTAATTTTCATAAGCTGGAGATTCCTGTCACATAATAACCTCTTATAACCAATACTTTTTCAGAATTAAAGATCTTCTCTATCTCTGCCCTAAATCCTGCACTGAAAACAGAGAAATTGCACAGTCAAGCTTCTTTCCAAGTTACTTTAACAAGGATATCACTGTAAAGTCATTACAATTTCATAAGCAACTTGAAGAACTACTAATCTTAAAGTGTGAAACGCTTGCCACATGGTTCATCCCAGTAACTGAATTCCCTCGGATACAATCCTTTCCCTGACTACCTATGTTATTGCACCTTTTGGCAGTTTCCACATCTTCTCATTCTTGCACCCGGGTTCCTAGGAATCATGTGTCCATCAGGCTGTGGAAGGAAATGTCCATTTTTCTTTCCAGTAGGGCTGTGGGAAGGGCACTGGAGTTACAGCCTCTATAAGGCTGGCAGTTCCATTCCTGCTTATTACACACAAAAGCTCCTAATTTAGTACACAATCCAGAAAAAAGCACCTACAGAATTGAATATGGCATTTCCTGCATCAGTGACAGAAGGGCTGGATCAAAGTTCAGGTAATGTGTTTTGTGTTGTTCATTGTTTTTTACACAGGTTTCTACAGAATGGTGCTACTCACCTTTAAACATCTCTAATGACAGCTCTAATGAACCCACAAATAGTTTTCACTCCTTGGTTATAAAAGAAGCATAATCAGCACAAATATATGCACCTCCACAAATTACTACCTGTGTTCTCATGCTGCAGAGGCCAACACCTGCCTTCCCGGCCTCCAAACAGCCAGCAGTGGACAACCATGCATTCCTCACAGCAGCTGCCAATCATATCTCCTTTGCTCCACATCCTTCCTGGCGTTTACAACCACTCAATTCCAGCAGATGTAATTACTTGCATTTGCTTTGAATTTCTGAAGAACATGTGCAAGGGTTCATTACATACCTGAAAGATTAACCCATTTTATTTCGGTACGTGTATGTACATGCTCACACACATGTATAACAAATCTACGTACAGAGAGATGTGGCTTGACCTGTGCTTGATGCATGCAAACCAGGAAAAGAGAATATGACAAATGTGCTCATTGGCAACTACTCAGAATAGTTGTGGGATACCCCAGTCTCTGCCTGGCCATGCTGGTAGTGGGCTGGAGCACAGGGTATGTAATGAGGAGACAGCAAACCTCTGCAGGAGGCTCCTTTGTCCAGGACATGACAAGTCCTTTCAGCCTCAGTGACAGGTTGAGGATTTGTAAGGCCTGAAGACTGCAGGCAATGCAGAGGCAAAGGGCTTTCAAGAAGAAGAGAATACTCATTTAAGATGCTAACAGACCCCTTAGTGACTGAGTAAGGCAGTCTGCCTGTCCCTGAAGTGAGGGAAGCTTGAAGACAAATGGATTAGAGTCAGCACCAGTGACTCCATCTCTGCTTGGCTGGTGAATAGAGGAGGAAGGCTCTCCAAGAAAAGCAAATCCCATGTTTTCAGGGCTGGAGCTGGTAACACCTGAGTTGATACGGAGCCTGTTATGCAATTATTTACATTCATGAGCATCAAAAAGGACAGGTTTCTTGTCTATGAAGGCACCCCCCCCAGGCTACCTGAAGCTTCTCCAGAGAAGGCAGTTTCATGACAGATTTCTATATCTGATCAACAGACCATAGATGAAGGGTTCTAGGAATGGACACTCCACAAGTTCTAAAAAAAATCGGAAATAAAAACCAGAAACTGAAGACCTAAACCTAGAAATTCCTAACACCTAACCTAGGGGGCCATGATAGGAAAATACATCCCTGTACCCAAACCCTACATCCCAGTGAATGGGAAGAGAGAGGCTTGAACAAGGCTTATTGAACAAGACCTGTCCATGCAGCAATCAAATGAGATAGGGCTCCTGTCAGTGAGGTTTTGCTGAGACCAAAGGCTGACCAAGCCAGAATCATCATAGCAGAAGCAAAGCATTGCCAGTTTACCCACACTTATAAATATGATGCCATCAAGATGCTGGCTTTTTCTGTTTAACAAATTCTTTGTTTAGCTAAGCTAGAATAAAACCAAGTTTAGCTTTTCTCCTTTACAATGCCTCCTTAGCTTCAATTGCTTTTCCCTGTCTCTTGTGTGCTTGGTCCTGACTCTTAGGCTTTATTGCTGCCAGTCTGCAGTTGCTCTAACCACTCTAACCACTTCATTCCCCTTGAAGTATGGATTCCTTGCCTGATCCCAGGCCATATCTCTTAACCCAGGCCTTGCTACTGTCCTTGACTTTTCCAGCTGTGACCTTTACTTTTCTTGCTTCCAGCACCTAGCATCAGATTCTAATCAGTCCCAATTATTGTCTTCATTTCCCAATAAAACCATGGTTTCATCACAGCTACTATCTTGCCCATGTGTGAAGCAAGTGAAATTTTCAGTGGCAGTCTTGTTTATGCTTCATTCTAAGTCTCAGTTTAGCAATCACTGTGATGGGCCTTTAGCACCAATTTTAAAAAGCTGCTTGAGTTTTTATTTGGATTTAAACCCGAGTTAATATTTCTGAATGGAAGTGGGTTAATTTGAGGAAAACGCATAGAAAACAAACGAAATCCAAACCAAAGCACAATGCCTACCATAACTTTGGCCTTAAACAACCATGTCTTTTGTTTGTTCATGCTCTTAGTACTCACTTACCATCATGCTAAGCAAAGGGAAAACAAAGATCTATTTGCAATTATTTTCAACCTGACATGCTGAAATACTAAATTGAGCCTTCAAGGCTGCTTTTCCCAAATTATTTCATTCCATGCCCCAGATAAGCTTTAACATTCATGCTTTTCTCCCTCAAGCATTCTTATAAACCCTTGAAGTTCTGCAGTTGCTCCCTCTCCCATCGTTTTGCCCCTCTCTGACTCCTCACACACACACTGCTGCCATGAAGAGTAAAACTACTCACACAATGAGAGTAAAGGAAGGTCTCAGAGCTCCATCTTGGCATTGGTTTCAGCTATTTCACATCCCTCTGTAGCATTCTTTCACTTCCCTGGAGCACACTGGCTCTATCCCTCCCAGCAGCAGACTATCCACTACCGTCACGCACATTTCTCTCTTCAGAGTTCTGAGGAGGATTCTTCTAAAGGTAAAACAGTAGAGGGGTCCCTACTCATGTAAAAAGCCAATTAAAGTTAAATGCTTAACTGCCATCTGTGCCTTTAAGAAAAATCTCTTAATTTTCCCCAG